TGGGGCACAAGGGAGGCTATGGGGAACAAGGGGGCTGTGGGGCACAAGGGGGCTGTGGGGCACAAGGGGGGCTATGGGGCACAAATGGGTCTATGGGGCAGGCTATGGGGCAGCCCCACTGACCAGCCACTTGTCCCGGGCATAGATGACCGTGTTCAGCATGGACTCATAGAACAGGCAGTAGCCATAGGGCTCTATGGGGCAGGCTATGGGGCAGCCCCACTGACCAGCCACTTGTCCCGGGCATAGATGACCGTGTTCAGCATGGACTCATAGAACAGGCAGTAGCCATAGGGCTCTATGGGGCAGGCTATGGGGCAGCCCCACTGACCAGCCACTTGTCCCGGGCATAGATGACCGTGTTCAGCATGGACTCATAGAACAGGCAGTAGCCATAGGGCTCTATGGGGCAGGCTATGGGGCAGCCCCACTGACCAGCCACTTGTCCCGGGCATAGATGACCGTGTTCAGCATGGACTCATAGAACAGGCAGTAGCCATAGGGCTCTATGGGGCAGGCTATGGGGCAGCCCCACTGACCAGCCACTTGTCCCGGGCATAGATGACCGTGTTCAGCATGGACTCATAGAACAGGCAGTAGCCATAGGGCTCTATGGGGCAGGCTATGGGGCAGCCCCACTGACCAGCCACTTGTCCCGGGCATAGATGACCGTGTTCAGCATGGACTCATAGAACAGGCAGTAGCCATAGGGCTCTATGGGGCAGGCTATGGGGCAGCCCCACTGACCAGCCACTTGTCCCGGGCATAGATGACCGTGTTCAGCATGGACTCATAGAACAGGCAGTAGCCATAGGGCTCTATGGGGCAGGCTATGGGGCAGCCCCACTGACCAGCCACTTGTCCCGGGCATAGATGACCGTGTTCAGCATGGACTCATAGAACAGGCAGTAGCCATAGGGCTCTATGGGGCAGGCTATGGGGCAGCCCCACTGACCAGCCACTTGTCCCGGGCATAGATGACCGTGTTCAGCATGGACTCATAGAACAGGCAGTAGCCCATCCACTCGCTGATGATCACGTCCACCTTGGCCACCGGCAGCTCCACCTCCTCCACCTTGCCCTTGATGATGGAGATCACTGGGAGAGAGGGGAAGGGGTTAGGGGGCGGCTATGGGGCAGTTATGGGGCGCTATGGGGCACTATGGGGCCCTATGGGGCAGTTATGGGTTGCTATGGGGCAGTTACTGGTCACTATGGGTCTCTATGGGGCAGTTATGGGTCGCTATGGGGCAGTTACCGGGCGCTATGGGGCAGTTATGGGGCGCTATGGGTCGCTATGGGGCAGTTACCGGGCACTATGGGGCAGTTAGCAGTCACTATGGGGCGGCTATGGGGCGCTATGGGGCAGTTGTGGGTCACTATGGGGTGCTATGGATCAGTTACAGGTCGCTATGGGGCGCTATGGGGCAGTTAGCAGTCACTATGGGGCACTATTGGGCAGTTACTGGTCACTATGGGGCGCTATGGGGCAGTTATGGGTCACTATGGGGCGCTATGGGGCAGTTATGGGTCGCTACGGGGCACTATGGGGCAATTACCGGTCACTATGGGTTGCTATGGGTCGCTATAGGGCAGTTACGGGTCGCTATGGGCCAGTTATGGGTCGCTATGGGTCGCTATGGGGCAGTTATAGGTTGCTATGGGGCAGGCTCTCACCATGATCCAGTTTATTGGCTTTGATGATCTTGACGGCGTAGTCGGAGATGCTCGAGCACTCGATCTGGGGGGGAACAGGGGGGGTGAGACCCACAGCGGCCCCATAGAGCCCCATAGAGACCCCTCAGCCCCCTATTGCCCCTTTAAGACCCCACAGACCCCCTTTAAGGCCCCATAGACTGCCTTAAAGACCCTATAGGAGCCCCATTGGCTCCCCTTTCAGCCCCCTTGGACCCCCACAGACCCCCCTTTAAGCCCCCATAGGACACCCATAGACCCACATAGCCCCCATCTTTAACCCGCCACAGGACCCCACTGACCCCCATAGCCCCCCCTTACCCCAATGACCCCCATAGGACCCCATAGCCCCCCCTTACCCCAATGACCCCCATAGACCCCTTTACCCCATAGACCCCCATAGCCCCCCATAGGATCCCCATAGCCCCACCCTTTAACCCCCCATAGAACCCATAGACCCCCATAGACCCCCCTTAACTCCCCATAGGACCCCATTGACACCCATAGCCCCCCATAGCGCCCCCCCTTACCCCAATGACCCCCATGGACCCCTTTAAGCCCCATAGGACCCCTCTAGTCCCCCCCTTACCGCAATGACCCCCATAGCCGCCCCTTACCCCACTGACCCCCATAGACCCCTTTAAGCCCCATAGTCCCCCATAGCCCCCCATAGGACCCCCCATAGCCCCCCCTCACCCCAATGACCCTCCTGGCGCCGGCCTTGGCGGCGAACATGCAGAGGATCCCGGTGCCGCTGCCCACGTCCAGCACGACCCGGTCCTTGAAGAGGTGGCGGTTGTGGAACATGGAGTTCCGGTAGGTGAGGGTGCGCACCTCGTCCTTGAGCATCTCCTATGGGGACAGGGTTTGGGGTGAAAAAAGGCGATTTTGGGAAAAATGGGGTTTGGGGTGAAAAAAGGCGATTTTGGGAAAAATGGGGTTTGGGGTGAAAAAAGGCGATTTTGGGAAAAATGGGGTTTGGGGTGAAAAAAGGCGATTTTGGTAAAAATGGGGTTTGGGGTAAAAAAAGGTGATTTTGGTAAAGAGGGTTTTGGGGTGAAAAACAGGGGTTTTGGGAAAGAGGCGGCTCTGGAACATGGGGTTCCGGTAGGTGAGGGTGCGCACCTCGGCCTTGAGCATCTCCTATGGGGGTTTGGGGGGAAAAAAGGGGGTTTTGGTAAAAAGGTTTTTGGGGTGAAAAAGGCGATTTTGGTGAAGATGGTTTTGGGGTGCAAAAAGGTGATTTTGGTAGATATTTCTGGGGTGAAAAAAGTGGTTTTTTGTAAAAAGGGTTTTGGAGTGAAAAATGGGGTCTTTGAGAGGGGTTTGGGGTGAAAAAAAGGATTTTTGTAAAGACATTTTTGGGGCAAAAAAAGGTGATTTTGGTAAAGACTTTCGGGGTGAAAAAAGTTTTTTTTGAGGAATGTTTTCAGGGTGAAAAAACCCAGGTTTTTGGGCAGCAGGTTTTCAGAGCAAAAAAAGGGGGTTTTGGGGTGAAAAACAGGGATTTTGGGAAAGAGGTTTTTTGGCTGAAAAGGTGGGATTTTGGGGGGCCAAAAGGGGGTTTTGGGGCAAAAAAGGGCGGTTTCAGGGCGAAAAAGGGCGCTCTTGGGGTGAAAAGGGGCGGTTTTGGGGTGAAAAAGGGGGTTTTTGGGTACCTCGTGGATGCCGAAGTGCGCGTAGGAGTCGAAGTAGTAATCCTTGGAGGTCATCTCCTCGGCGGGGGGCTTGGGGCTGGCGCTGGGGGGGCCGGAGACCTGGGGGGAGAGGGCCCCATAGGGGTCAGTGGGGCAGGGAGACCAATGGGGTCTATGGGGCAGGGAGCTCATAGGGATCTATGGGGTGGGGAGCCCACAGGGGTCTATGGGGCGGGGAGCCCAATGGGGTCTATGGGGCGGGGAGCCCAATGGGATCTGTGGGGCGGGGAGACCAATGGGGTCTATGGGGCGGGGAGCCCAATGGGATCTATGGGGCGGGGAGACCATAGGGATCTGTGGGGCCGGGAGACCACTGGGGTCTATGGGGCGGGGGGGGGCGGCCCCATGGGGGTCTATGGGGGGGCCCCCGCTGTTATCGCGATAGGACGGGCATCGTCCCCCCTCCATCGCGAGAGGCCCCGCCCCTCCCCCCTCCCCTTTGTTCCCGCGCTGGCGGGAGCCGCGTGGCGGGGGCGGGGCTTGCGGGAAGGGGGCGGGGCCCAGAGCCCCACGTGCGTGTGGGGCCCCCCCCAGCTCCATAGAGCCCCATTGAGCCCCATAGAAGCCCATAGAGCCTCCATTGAGCCCTACTGAGCCCCATAGAGCCTCCATTGAGCCCTATGGAGCGCCATAGAACCCCACTGATCCCCATTGAGCCTCCACTGACACCTATTGGGCCCCATAGAACCCCATAGAGCCTCCATTGATCCCTATGGTGCCCCATAGAGCCTCCATTGACCCCTACTGAGCCCCATAGAGCCCCATTGACCCCCACAGAGCCTCCATTGAACCCCATTGAGCCTCCACTGACCCCTATGGAGCACCATAGAGCCCTACAGAGCCCCACAGAGTCTCATAGTACCCTATAGAGCCCCACAGATCCCCACCGAGCCCCACAGAGACTCCAATAACCCCCATAGAACCCCATAGACGCTCACAGACCCCCCCCCAACCCCATTACGGACCCCATAGAGGGCCCCTGCCCCATAGAGCCCCCCCAACCACCCCAGTATAGGCCCCACAGAGCCCTATAGACGCCCCCCCACATAGAGGCCTCCGCGGCCCCAGTACGGGCCCCATAGAGACCCATAGAGCCCCATAGCGCCCCATAAAACCCCATAGGGACCCACAGAGCCCCACAGCACCCCACAGAGCCCCATAGGCCCCGCTCACCTCCATGATGCAGTTCGTCGCCGCCTCCGCCATCTTGTCCGCGCCGCCTGCCCCCCCTCCCCTCACGCACCGTCACCGACCCCGCTCCTTTTATAGCGCGGGCGGAACCAGTCCCTCCCCCCTTGCCTCCTCATTGGCCGCCGCTCCCCGAGGCCGCGCCGCGATTGGTCCGCGCCCTTTGTCCATCAACGGCGCGGAACCCCGCCCATATTCATAGATGGAGGGGACGCGGGGTGAGGGAGGAGCTGCGGCGCAGCGCAGAGCGCCCCCTAGCGGCGCGGAGGACCCTCCCCTTTTACCCCATAGATCAATGGGAGCCCAATGGGTTTCTATGGGGCGTTTATTGAGCATGGGGCCCCCCCCACAACCAGAAAAGGCCCGGATGTGGCCATTGGGGGGCAATGAAGGGGGGGTCACCAGGAGGGGACCCCAAAGCGAGCCACCAGCGCCTGCTGAGCATCCAGGTCCTTCTGCACCTTGCGCCGCATGTAGAATATGGGGCAGTCCCGGCTATGGGGGGAAATGGGGGTAATGGGGTGATGGGGGTAATGGGGGTGATGGGGGGAATGGGGGTGATGGGGGTAATGGGGGTGATGGGGGAATGGGGGTGATGGGGGGAATGGGGGGAATGGGGGTGATGGGGGAATGGGGGTGATGGGGGTAATGGGGGTAATGGGGGTGATGGGGGTAATGGGGTAAATGGGGGAATGGGGGGCAATGGGGGCAATGGGACTCAATGGGCTCAATGGGTTCAATGGGACTCAATGGATCTCAATGGCTCTCAATGGGATCAATGGGACTCAACGGGTCTCAATGGCTCTCAATGGGTGTCAATGGCTCTCAATGGATCTCAACGGGTCTCAGTGGGTTCAATGGGATTCAGTGGGGCTCAGTGGCGCTCAATGGGCTCAATGGGTGTCAATGGGTGTCAATGGCTCTCAATGGTTTCCAATGGGTGTCAATGGGTGTCAATGGGTATCAATGGGTGTCAATGGATGTCAATGGGTCCCAATGGTTCCCAATGGGTGTCAGTGGCTCCCAGTGGTTCCCAGTGGTTCCCAGTGGCCGCACCTGGTGCAGAGCACGTCCTGGTGCAGGGCGCTCTGGCACCGCTGGCACTGGCTCCAGAGGCGGGAGAAGCGCTGCTCCAGGGCCGCCAGGGCCCCCACCTGCAACAGCACCTCCCATAGACACAGAGGGACCCATAGAGACCCCATAGACACCATAGGGACCCCATAGACACCATAGGGACCCCATAGACACCATAGGGACCCATAGACCCCCCTATAGGCCACATAGACCCCCATAAACTCCTATAGAGCCCCCCATAGGCCCCCTATAGACCCAAGAGACCCCCCATAGGCACCATAGACCCCCATAGACCCCCCATAGGCCCCATAGATGCCTATAGAGCCCCCTATAGACCCCATAAACCCCTTAGACTCCTATAGAGCCCCCCATAGACTCCCCCATAGACCCCCATAGCCCCCATAGACCCCATAGCCCCTATAGACCCCATAGCCCCTATAGACCCCATAGCCCCCATAGACCCCCCTATAGACCCCCACAGACTCCCCATAGACCCCCCTATAGACCCCCACAGACTCCCAATAGACCCCCATAGACCCCCCATAGACCCCTATAGACCCCCATAGACCCCACTGCCCCCCCATCACCTCCTTCTGGTAGAGCTCAGCCTGGCGCTGGCTGCAGAAATCACAGACGGCTCCTGGGAACAGAGATGGGGCAATGGGGGGCAATGGGGGGCAGTTATGGGGCAATGGGGGCAGTTATGGATCAATAGGGGGCAGTTATGGGGCAAGAGGGGGCAATAAGGGGCAATGGCGGCAGTTATGGGGCAAGAGGGGGCGATAAAGTGGCAATGGGGGACACTGGGGGGCAATGGGATGCACTGGGAGGGAGGGGGTGGAAGCACACAATGGGTCCCTATGGCGCCTGCCCCGCAGCTCCCCCTAGCGGTGTCTCTATGGCATAGCCCAGCCTGGACGCTC